CCCTGTCTCCCTCAGCAAAAGCCAGGTGCTGCCCAGTCCCACACAGTTCTGCATCTGCAATGGTTTCAGCCCATGGTCCTTCCAGCCAGGCACCTCCAGCCTGCCCTTGCTTGTTTCTTGTCTTCCACAGATCCCAGAGAACCCACCGGACTACCAGAAATATTATCGCCATATGAATAAGGTACGATGACTGGAACTGGTCTCTGAAGGATGTGTGAACGGGACAAGAGATTTGGGCAGAGGGGATGGGAATGAGGGACAGCACCTCTCCTCTTACAAGAACAGAACAGGTCAGGGGAAGGTGCTGAGCCTTCCTGACCCCTTTCCAGGGTGGCTTCCCCTTCAGCACCCGAGACTGTGGTTGGATCGTGGCAGACTGCACAGCAGAGGGGCTGAAGTCGGTTATGCTGCTGCAGGAGAAGTGCCCTTTCATAGCCAAGCTTGTCCCCCCTGAGCGCCTCTTTGATGCTGTGAATGTGGTAAGTGCTGCAGAAATTAGGGCCAAGTGAAATACGGGCAGCTAAACCAAGCTAAAATAAGAGAGGTCAAGGCCAGATGAGTTGTTAAATCTGGCATTACTAAGCTGCTACTATGGCCTGGTATGGCAACACCATATTTACTGTGATACGGAGCTATGTACGTGACATAATGCAATGGTCCAGATTGGGCCTGCTTGTCAATGCAATTTGGGACCTGGGTTGTCTGCCAACCCCATGGACTCGTGGGTCTGACTTTGTCCTCACACCTGGCTTGGGGCCAGACTGGGGTGGTACTGCCCGTGAGCCGGTCCCAACCCCTCTCTGCTTGTCTGGGCAGTTGCTGAGCATGAGGAACTCGGATGGAGGCTTTGCCACATACGAAACCAAACGAGGAGGCCACTTGCTGGAGCTGCTGATCCCCTCGGAGGTGTTTGGTAAGGGAAGCTGCGTGGGGGCTGGTTCATCCCCTGAAGGGACGCAGTGGACTGGCCTTGCTGTGCCCAGTGGGTGCCCAGCTTTGCCCAAGGCACCTCTGTGAGATAAGTGTGCCCTGAGTCCAAGGGAGAGGTTGGCAGTGAGTGGCTTGGAGGCTCCCTGGTGCAGGGGCTGTTGCACTGATAGCCTTCGCCTGCTGCCAGGTGACATCATGATCGACTACACCTACGTGGAGTGCACGTCGGCTGTCATGCAGGCACTGAGACACTTCCATGACAAGTTCCCTGAGCACAGAGCCCCAGAGATCAGGTGAGGCACTGAAATGAGAATTGGGTAGGGGAGAAGACAGGCTGCGATGTCCCACGCTGCCTGCCATGGCCTCTGTTGGCACAGCCCCTGCTGAGCCTTGTCAGGGGTCTTGCCTGGACCTCTGCACTGGCATGGAGCAGCCTCTGGTGGCCCTTGGTGTGTGCGCAGCTGGGATGCAGGTTACTTCACCTAACCAGAGCCCCCCACAAGAGACTGGGGCCCAGCCTCTCTCAAGGAGCAGGGCATAGGCTGTTTGGGATCAGGCTGGGGGAAATTCTTGGAGATCTACCTGCCTCTTGACTTTGCAGTTGCCTTGATTTTGCAGCCAGCTACAGGCTGGGTCCCCTGCTTGCATGCAGAGGTAAAAGAGCACCCACCTGGTGCATGGTTTGACTCTCAGATGCTGAACAACGTGGCTGCCCATCCACATGCTCTTGCCTCTTGAGCCCTCTAATAATGGGACCCATCAAAGCCTCAGGGGGACTAATGGATGCCCCTGATGCAGCCACTGAGTTTGATCTTTTTCCTGACCAGGGAGACTCTGCAGAAGGGCCTGGACTTCTGTCGTAAGAAGCAGCGAGCTGATGGGTCATGGGAAGGGTAAGCAGTGTTCCCAGTGTCCAGTTTTTCCCTGGCTGCCCCAGTGTGAGAGGGACCATGATGGCAAGCATTCCTGGCTGGCAGGATCTGTGGGAAGGGGAAGTAGGGGCTGATGCTCCTCTAGCTCCTGTGCTTTGCTCTCCTTTCCAGGAGAGTAGGCCAGGCAGAGCAGCCAGGCAGAGCAGGCACCTGGACAACCCCTGGGGTCTAGGGTGGCTCCAGCTCCTCTGGTCCCAGAGTGTCTACTGACACCTGAGTGAGCTGGGATCAGGTGCTGGTGGGACTGGGCATGGCTGCACCATAGGGGAAGGCAGGCTGCAGCTCTGTGCCTGGCTCTGCTCTTGGTGTGAATATGGCTGTGTCGCAGCCTGCCTCTACCAGGGGCCTTGCAGCCCTGACAGTACTGCTGTGTCTTTACTCCTAGGAGCTGGGGGGTTTGTTTCACTTACGGCACCTGGTTTGGTCTGGAGGCATTCGCCAGTATGCAGCACACGTACCGCAATGGGTGAGAAGGGGCTCTCGGGTTCCCCTGCCCCTACCTACCTCTTGGGCCGGGGCAAGACTCCATGGTGGGGCTGGGCAGATGCTGCGCGTAGGCTCCTTGCACCAGGTACAGCTCCTCCCAAATCCTGTGCCTGTGATATGACCAGGACACTCGCTGCCTGAGCTTCAGACTCTCGGGGCAGTCCCAGCTGTGGGCAGGGCAGAGCACAGCTCCTGTTTGCAGCTGAGAAACACGGGCATCCAAATGTTCCCTGTTCCCAGTCCTATCTGATTCTCTGCCCCATCCTTACAGGGCTGCATGCCAAGAGGTGGCCCAGGCCTGCCAGTTCCTCCTCTCCAAGCAGATGGCAGATGGTGGGTGGGGAGAGGACTTTGAGTCATGCGAGCAGCGCACGTATGTGCAGAGCGCCACGTCGCAGATCCACAACACGTGTTGGGCCCTGCTGGGGCTCATGGCTGTCAGGTAGGAGCAGCCCTCACCCCTTCAGGCACGCCCTGGCCCTGAGCGCTCAGTGAGATGGGAAATGCGGGCTGGGTTAAGTGGCAGGGCTGGCATGGGCCCTGGGCCTGGCTGGTGTGGGCCATGCACCCAACTGTGTGTGTTCGTGACCTCATGGGTCACGAGCCTCCTGCAATGAGGGACTGGCCTGCACGGTGGTCCATGGGCCAGCGAGGCTCATAATGCTGGACAGGGGGGCAGCCAGCACAAAGCAAAGGTCTGTCTGATCACAACTGTAGGCCTCCAGCCTGGGAAAAGGTTGCTGTTTTCGTAATGTCTGCTGTCCTCAGATTGTGAGGGGCCTTCCCAAAGCACTTTGCACACCTAGGACAAGCTCAGGGCAGCCTGGAGGTGGTTGAGTTCCCTAAGCACATGGATGGGGATATGCAGACAGTTTGGATAAGAGTGCTCGCGTCTCCATCGTGCTTTGCAGGTACCCTAACATCGATGTGCTGGAAAGGGGCATCAAAGTGTTGATTGATAAGCAGCTGCCCAACGGGGACTGGCCTCAGGTACATCTTTCCTCTCGTCTTTCCAAGGGGTTCTCTGGTGTTGCAGGTGTTGTGGGCATTGGTGCAGCCATTGCAATGGTGTGCTTTCCTTCACCTGGAAAGGAAGCCACGTGTGGCTTTTGGTGGGGGACTTCAAGAAGGCAATGAGCTCAGCACCACATCATGGACACACTGCAGTCCCCTGTCACCCATACCATCTTCCTCTCTGTCTCGCTCTCAGGAGAATATTGCTGGGGTATTCAACAAGTCGTGTGCCATCAGTTACACTGCGTACCGCAATGTCTTCCCCATCTGGACGCTGGGGCGTTTCTGCCGGCTGCATCCCAACAGCCCTCTTGGTGGGCAGCTGCAATCCGGACCCTTGCCTGGGACAGGGAAGATGGTGCAGGAGGCCTCATCTGCCTGACCCTGGGCCACTGCAGATGCCACGACCTCTGACTTGTCTTAGATAGTGGCTGCTGCATGGGGCCATGGGGGTGTTTCCTGCGTAGGACATCTCAGTGCTGATCTTAACACTGCCTCTGCCACAGAGTGCTGCTGTGGTGCTGCAGAGTCTCTGCTTTCTGCTGAACATCTTCTAAAAATCCCCATTTAAAGGTTTTCCCAGGTATATCCTCCCTCATGGGACAGGGAGTGAAGTGTCTTTTCAGACCACTTTGGGGATCTGAGAAGAGAAAGCTGCCAAGCTGTGTTGTCTTACACATCTAGACAGACTTTCTCATTCCAGGTAGAGTGAGGCTGCCTTTATCTTCCCCTCATGCTGTCCAGGTTGGCCATCTGTGGCATGAGTGCAGGATTTGGGGCCTCCCCTGTGCACAGTGTCATGATGGGGTACACTGCACAATCCTAGCTGAGCCTGCCTCTGTCCTGTGGGTGCCAGTGACTGCCTTTGAAGTGCTCTCTGCTCTTGAACCCATGCGTGGAGGGGAAAGCCACCTGTCCTCCCCCAGACAGATGGGAAAGAGGAGTGCTTGGCTCAGTTTTCTTACCATCCTGTCCCCCAGCTGGTGGCACTGGACTACCCAGAGCCTCTCAGGTGAAGTAACCAGCATCATTCCCACTTTGAAAAAGGGGAAACTGAAGCAGAAAGCACTGAGATGATGAGCGTCAGGGCACAGCCTGGGTCCCTGGGCATCAGCCTTCCCCCAGCGCAGCAGTGCCCCTGCTCAGGCTATGGTGCAGTTGGGCATTCGCATTTTGTTGTCAGAGTTTGAAGTCGTGTTGACTGATGGGTTAATAAATTGCTAATGGTTTTGCAAATGAAACTTAATGGTGTGTTGGTCTCCTTATGGTCTGCCCCAGTGTGTGTCCCACACAGAGGGGAGCTTGCACAGCAGCATCCTGTAACCTGGCTTGGGTCACCTGTCCCCAGTGGTATGGGCACCATCTCCACCAACAAGCAAGCTGTGCTTGGAGCCTGTGCCTGCTTTGCCCTCCACCAGTGCCTTTGGCCCCAGAAAAATGGAATCAAGGAAGCAGCTGACTGCTTCTTATACTCATGTGAGTAAGCCCAGTGTGCGGTTGGCTGCGCTCTCTTGGACTCATTGCTGACCAGGACCCCTAGTCCATTTTTGCAAAGCTGTTCCCCAGCCAGTTGGCCAGCCAGTTGGCTAGCCTGTGCTGCTGCATGGGGTTATTTCATCCTATGGGCAAAATACTGTATTTGCCTGGGTCTAATTTGTAGAAGAACCATGGAAACATAGACCTTTCTTTTCAGCCCATTTCTCCAGCCTCTGCAAAGCACCCCCGCTCTGGACCGTACCCTCCGCCTGCCCAGACTGGTAGGGTCTGCAGGCTTGCTGAGCATGCATTCTATCCTCTTGCCCAGGTTGTTAGCTAGAAAAGCTTATTTAAGCAAACTTAACTCAGGCTGTTTTGACAGCCCTGATTGCCTTTTCCAATTCTGGATTCCTTTACACCTGTCTGTGATGCTATTCTGCATGTAAGCACCTCCGTACTCTCCATTACAACCAGGAAGAGGCTTTTGTTGTACTTTTGATTTTGGGGTTTTGTGGGCTTTTTAAAATCATTGTAGGGGAACTTGAGACAACCAGTGTCCTTTCAACATGTTATTGCAAGTTTGGGGTTTTTTCTTTTATTGTATACGGTTCCTTGATCTCCAGTGCTCCAAGCAACGTGGTGTTCCTAGGAGAGCTGCAAAGAAGAAGCTGTTTTATCACTAAAATCCCATTTTCATTATAAACATTTTGGTTGGTAAGGGGCCAAAGATTTGTGATGTTAGATACCATTTAGTTGCATTTATGCCCTGTACAGATGCTTTTGTTTCCATCTTTGCACAAGATCAGGAGCAGGGAGTGATGGTCACTAAGCTTTCTTCTGGCTGAAACTGAGCTGATTCAAGTGTGGTCCAGTCATGTGTTTTGAGAGGACGTGGCTGTTTGGATTTCCACCTAGGTTGTGGCTTGAGAACACATTTCCCTTTAACCAGACAAAACTAAGGTTGCCTTGCAAATTTTATAACCATAAACTGCTGAATGTAATTTATTTTCTGTCTTCCCTTGGGATTCCAGGAATTCTTCAGTTTCAGAGCAGGAAAACGTTCCCTCTGCTTTGCAGTGGGAGGATCATGGTGAGGAGCATTATATGACATAAAGCAGAGGTACTAGACAGCAAATAGGTCCTCTCTAAAGGTAAAACAAACCTCTTAGCTTGGGGTTTCGGGCTGAACTTTGTCTTGTTTTTCAGTGAGAGGCAGAAAGGGGGCTCATAGAATCAGAGAGTATCTCAGGTTGGAAGGGACCCATAGGGATCATCGAGTCCAACTCCCTGCTCCTCAGAGGACTACCTAAAACTAAACTGTATGACTAAGCACATCGTCCAGACACCCCTTGATCTCAGACAGCTCTTTCAGCACCCTGGGATGAATCCCATCGGGTCCCAGAGCCTTCTGTGCATCCAGCCAGAGCAGCAGACACGTTCAGAGTCAGCTGGGAGTTTATCATCCCCCCCAGTCATGACTCTGGGGGTCCCAGGGCCCAACAGGGGTGTGAAAGATAGAGGCGAAGAAAGCATTAAATATCTTTGCTTTGTCTGTGTCCCTGTTTGTGAGGTGATTGTCCTCATCAAGGAAGGGACCAATGTTACAATGTTGGCGATAAGGACAGTCATTTGGGATCCATCATGTCAAACCCTGCTCCCCAGCAGCTCTATCTATCTGGCCAGGCTGATCTGCTTTCCTTGGATGTCAAAAGATGTTGAAGTGCCTAATTCTCATGGGGTTTACAAATCATCTGGATCCTGAAATACCTGTGGGGCTTCGGACCTAGATTCTGCTCTACACTTGTAGGATTTAATAGCACTTTCTTACACTGTGATTTTATCAAGACAGACGAGAGACAAAGATCAAAAAAGTTACCATGACAATCCAGACATTTGATACTTAGGTAGTACCTCTTGCATACTGGTACTTAAATAGTACTCTTTTCATGCTGTCATCTTTTTTTTTTGGCATGTGGAGTTTGCAGTTTTCTTTCTTCACATGGCTGCTCTAGTTGTTCTTGAACCAATTTCCAAAATAGGGCTCATCAGTTTAAAAAAGAGACTGGTTTTCAGTCAGGAGTTAGAAAGCTGGATTTGTTGCTTCTTCACGTCAGCGGCAGTCAGCTTTTCCAGCAACGTGAGCAGATCTTTGCCACAAACAGAACCAACATGTTTTGCTCTAAAAATAATTTGGTTTCTATGTTGAGTACAAAATTGTAATTATGATTCCTAAAGACAGTGGCGTGTTTTTCCCCCAGCCGGCAGCTGAGCACCACGCAGCCGCTCATTCACTCCCCCCCATCGGGATGGGGAAGAGAATTGGAAGAGTTAAAGTGAGAAAACTCGTGGGTTGAGATAAAGACAGTTTACTAGGTAAAGCAAAAGCTGTGCGTGCAATCAAAGCAAAACAAGGAATTCATTCACCACTTCCCATGGCAGGCAGCTGTTAGCCATCTCCAGGAAAGCAGGGCTCCGTCACGCGTAATGGTGACTTGGGAAGACAAACGCCATTGCTCCGAATGCCGCTGCCCCCCCCCGCCCTTCCCCCAAGCTCCTTGTAAACTGAGCATGACGTCATGTAGTATGGAATATCCCCTTGGTCAGTTGAGGTCACCTGTCCTGTCTGTGTCTCCTCCCAGCTTCTTGTGCACCCCCAGCCATCCCGCTGGCAGGGCAGTGTGAGAAGCAGAAAAGGCCCCGTGTAAACACTGCTCAACAATAAGTCCATAGAACAAAAACATCTCTATATTATCAATGCTGTCTCCAGCACAAATCCGAAACATATCCCCACACTAGCCACTATGAAGAAAAATCAATCCTCTCAGCTGAAACCAGGACAGAGAGTGTGAAAGCTGTTTCCTATGCATGAGATAAAGGCCGTTTTAATGGATTTTAGGTCTTGATGGTGTCAGTTAATGTTTTAAAACTGTCATAGACACTCCTGTGGTTTGAAGCCTCTTGGCTGTATCTGACAAGCAGGTCCCTGGTTGAGTTAGGGAAGTGACATGCCTTTGTTGAAATGACAATCTTGGGGCAGGTGTTATTTTATATACCCACTGTGAGGTACTCCAAGGTGTCATGACTCGAAGGCCAGGCTACGCACAAGCTGGGAAACTTGGGTTCTCCAGTCTTCCATTCAAATTCAGCATGCCAAAACTGGAACGTTTTAAAGTCGCTGAGGTTTTCTGAATATTAACTATCCTTCCTCCTTCCCTCCCACCCCAAGAAACCAGAAACCCCCACCTCAGAATGACTGTGTGATGGTGATTTCTTAGTCTAATTTCTACATAGGAATAGCCAAGGTAAACAATAGCACTCAAGAAAGAGCAGATGGCCCCTAGCCCCAGCAGTTCAGCCTTTCTACCCCCAGGGACCATTGATTTTTAGGGCAAAAAACCCCCAAAACTTAGGACTATCTTGTGCAAGGTTGCCATCTTGCCTTTCATTTATAAAAAAAAATAAAATTAAGCTACTTTTGAACGTTCACCGATATCCTCCTTTTTCGCTCATCAGTTGTTCCCAGCCACAGCTGGCGTGATATGTTTCTTTTTGCACTTCTTTCCCCTGTTATCAGAGGCTGAGAAAATTTGCGTAAGATGAACATCCTGGGAGAACTGAGTAAAAGAAAAGTGGGGTGGTTTTGTGCTTAAATTTTAAGCTGCTCCCCTCCCCCCTTCAGTATTATTTTCTTGTGTGTAAATTTTGGGACAGCCACCTAGTCACCTGCTGGGAGATGAAGCTGGAGGAGAGCTCAAGTGCCGCAGCCTCCCAGCCTCTGCCCCCACAGAGGTGGACGAGAGGGAAACGCTCCTTTCCCCAGGTTAGCAAAGAGGAGAGTCGTGGGGCTGGAGCTCTTTGGGTCCTCAGGTGGGGTTAAAAGTGGCACCCAGAGAGGGCTGGAAGTCC